TTACCCTGGGGCGCCGACCGATAACAATGTGGGTTTTCGTCGCGAGTATCACAGATGAGCTCATTTCGGGACTGGACATACTGTGCGCCTATGATGCTTCTGTGGACATAGGGCGCCAAACTCTGCGTCTGGCGGAAGAAGAATTATCGTTATGGAGTCCAGGGGCAGGACCCTGCCCTCCAAGCTTAGTAGTGGCAAAGGACCACGTGATACCCGCACAGAGCGAGGGAACAGCGATGGCTAGAATGGAGAAGCAAGAAATGCAACGAATAATCGAAATGCTAGCAATAATTGAAGCGAAAATGGACGCCAACAAGGAAAGAATGGACGCCGACTCGAAAGCCTGGCGAGATAAGACTGCCGCGTAGGCGAGAGCAACCCAAGCAAGGACGGCCACCGTGCGAGAAATAATGGTCACCAGCCACACGGAGATGGTTGCCGAAACCAAACCAGAAATTGACGTAATGTCGATGGCCTGCCGAGAAACGACGGAGGCGCGACAAGAAGAAGGAAAGCCGGCCTCAGTGGACACGAAATCTGCGCCGGCACAACAAGAAGAGGTCCCCATTGCTATACCGGTCATAGAACCTGAAGAAGAAATAACGGATGCCAGAAAAGGGACGACGGCCTGGTAAGAGATGGAGGCACGTCTAGAAGAAAAAGAGTCGACCTAAGTGGACAGGAAGCCTGAGGTGGCCCAACAACGAGAAGTCCCCAATGAAAATGCCGTAGTGAAACCGGTCAGTGGACGGAAGTAGCGGTATAGGGGCAAGAAGCAAGCTGCAGGGCGACGTGGAGAGCCACTGGAACTAACCCGAGAAATTTGTGGATCACGGATGAAGCTGGCTGCCTCCTGCAGGAAGGTGTCCCGCGGTGCAACAGTGACATGGCGCAAGAGGAACATCCTTAGGAATTCGACCCAAGTAAAGTGTGGACCTCGGCACGAATTGGCTGCCGAAATAAATAAGCCTAGCTGTACATATGTGACACAGCGCAAGAGACTCAGACTCTATGGAGATCAGTTAGAGTCACGCACAAGCCATCATAAAGATGTGCCAAAGAAAGAACGAGAAGGACTCGTCGTGAAAGGAAATTTCAATGCATGTGCTAGAGCACAAGCAGACGTGCTGCACGGAATCCAGGCAGATACGAACATCAAAAACTGGACACTGTGGAGGGGTCGACCCCCTCCGAAACGAAAAAAATTGAATAGCACAGAGTAGGAGCCGGTAACGTAGAAGTACCGGCCACCCGAGCAAGAGTGAATGTGCGATGAATGAATGTGATACAACTGGATCTTCTGGCAAGTTGGCAGGAAACCGCTCGAGACGAGCTGGTCTCAAGAGGGGAGCGGTTGTAACGGCCGGAGAACAGTCGCTGCAAGGAGTAGCCGAAATAACAGGAGACGCAGAAAGCACATCCTTGGAAGAAAAGGAACGGGGGTGCTTGTCGCGCTGTGGAGGACACCCCTCCCCCGGCACCGCCATCAGTGACATGCCGAGCGGAGCTCAAGTGAGCAGAGTCCAAGCACACTGGTCGCTATGCAAATCGAGTAAACAGCGGTTGCTAAGCAAAGCGAGTAAACAGTGGTTGCTAGAGAAGAAAGGTAATAAACAGCGGTACCCATTACGTAACAGGCAAACATGGCGACTAGGCAACAAGGAAGCGAGGCGTTTCCCGTTATCCAGCTGAGGGTTTATAAGACAACTACACTGCCTACAAAATGAGTCCAACAAATGACAGACCCGACCTCTCGTCAGAGAGGGCGCTACACATAGACAAGACAGTAACTTTCATTCAAAAGAAATATCTGGTCATGAGCCCCAGCTGGGGCTCGACACCAAGACAAACAGACTGACTGACCGTCAGTTGCAACGTGACTCTGACTCTGACTGACAAAATGAGTTAAAGTGCAGCCACCTACGAAGCGAGTTGAAAGGTAGCAGATGCCGAATGTAATAATAGTCATTTCTGTCATCATCATCATCATTGATATTTATTGACATTCTAAAGATAATACAAATAATTATATATAAACATATTTTCGCCCACTCAAACACTCGGATCGTAAGTTCGAATCCCCCTTGTGGCATGAATGTCTGTAATTGTAATTGTAATTTATTTCGAGTTCCAGATGATCCAATAAAACTCGTTACAAACCATAGGATATAGAACATGTCAAATATTGATTAAAATATTTCAAGATAAGCAGAACAACATATAAGTACAATACAATCATATGTACAATTCAGGTATAAGTTGAGCTCAAGTAAATAATTAGAACATGTCAAAATTATAAAGCAATAAAATAAATAATATAAAAGACAATAAGTATTATCATAAATACAATAAAACTATTATACAGTCAGTAGTGGCCTTGGTAGGAACAGAGTTTTTGGTTATAAATTGCATTGTAAAAGTCTTCAAAAGATTGATTGATAAGAAATTTGATGTGTGTATATTCTGTTTGTGTCGTTCTGTGTATAGGCAGTGGCCTTGTGGCAGGCTGATCCAATGTCCAAGGAGTCCTAGTGACTGTGTATAGATTAAGAAACTGAAAAACTGGCCAAGGTCCACAAGGGATGTAGAGACATATGCAGATATCATGGTTATACCACCATATACTATATACCACCCACAGTTAATTTGTTAGTCATGGCTAACAAAATTTCATTTATTAATTAAGAGAAGCCAATGCTGTTGATGAATTACTGCTGAAACCACACTGTTCATTTAAGGGTATATGATTTTAATTTAAATTTTAGGGCCCTGGCCTCTTATTCAGTTATGTAATCATTTTTTGCAGTCCGTAGGACTCCTTTGGTGAGTGATCAGCCCATTGCAAAGCCTCTGTCTAAACACTGGTACACACTAGTAGTTAAGCCATACGTTTTTTTAAAGGGCCTAGAAACTATGCTGAAACCAACATATAGTGTTTATGTAACACTATGTGCTAGATTCAGTAGATTCACAGTAAGAGATCTGTAAATAGATATTATTAGAATTGTTATTGAATATGTTGAGGTTAAAGCAACTAGCTGGGTGGTCTAGGTATGCAGCCTCAGGTCACACCAAGTAGGAAATGCCATTTCCACCATTTCTCTGGTAGCATCATGTATTCACTGCCACAGAATCGTGCTTATCAGCCATTACCTATTAACGGTCGTCTCCTCTGGCTGCACTATTCCAGTTTCCAGCTGCCTTGTAACAATTATATTATGTGGGTATTTCAGTGTCCCAAAAATTCTGTTGCACTACAGACATCACATTTTTCACTACTGGAGTACATATTCCTTGTCATTAGCAGAGAAATTTAGCTTTCATGCATAATGCAGCATTATTCACTGTCAGTTGGACAGTGTTTATGCTTGCTCAAGAGGCTCCAGAATTCCATGTACTCTGAAGCGATAAAGGCATGTATAACTTGGGTTACCATGATTGTTGTGAATCTTGAGCTCAATGAAGCGAAACGGAATTGCTGCTGGTTCCTGATATGAAAAGAAATGGTACAGATTATAAACAGAAAATGTCATCACTTAAATAAAAAGGTCTTATTAATTCAGTTTACTGTATTGCTCAGTGTGTTACCTGAACTGTATAGTACTGCAGAGGACTGCTATTGATATCATAGGAGAAACTCCCAAGGTATTGTCCTTCATCATCAAGGCTATTTAATCCCTGTGGATAAATTATGTTTATTAGTTCAGTAATTATTATTGAATATTACATAGTAATAAACAAAAAAATTAACAAATTCTTAAGAAGAGGATCTGATGTGGGCGAGAAGAAATGCCTGTAGGGTTTTGGTAGGAAAGCCAAAGGGATATTAGATCTTAGATAGGATGGGGTGGCAGGGACAGGAGTGATCTGCCTCAGGATTCGGACTGCAGGAGGGCTCTTGAGAATATGGTAATGAACCTTTGTGTTCCATGAAATGTTAGGAGATTCATGAGTAGCTGCACAACTGGAGGACTCAGCTCCCTGACTTAATTCAATTTGGATGCAACTTCTGAATCACATTAATTCTGTATAAAGAGGCTTTAGTTGTGCCCAACATTTGTATGCAAAAGTTCTTATATTCACGGTTAGCCTAAAAGAAATAGACAGTTTAGATGCTTTATGTTTTAAATTTTGACCTCCAATTTTCATTTGTCTTCGCGATGTCAGAATCGTCAGGATCGTCAGAATCGTGTGGGCGCCCTTAACGTATGTCGAGCAGTATGGCCGCTGACAAAGTGTAGAAGAATTTTGTTAGATCGAAGTTGCAAAAACAAATCCCGTTACTGTCGTGCCACGTCGTTTTAGAACACGGTATGGTAAACAACCAACCACAATACAGTCAATCTACGATTGGAGCAAGAAATTTAATGAAACTGGTTGCCTGTGCATGGGGAAAAGTCCTGGGAGACCACCTGTATCAGATGAAAACAGTGACTCGTGTTCATGAAACTTACACACACAGCCCAAAAAAGTCGACAACACCTGCAAGTTTAGAACTTCAAGTTCCACAAAAGACTGTGTGGAATATCTTGCGTAAACGTTTATGAATGTTCCCTTACCGGTTGCAGTTATTGCAGAACCTCACTGAAAACGACAAAATCCTTCGTTATTCATTCAGTATGGACATGCAACAACGGAATAAAGGAAGTAATGATTTCTTTAACCAGCTAGTTTTCAGTGACAAATTAACATTCTAGTGGTACGGTGAAAAAACACAACATTCTTATATGGGGAACTGAAAACCCAAGAGGTGTAGTGGAGCATGTGAGGGATTAACCTAAAGTGAAAGTTTTTGTGCTGTATCCCGTAAAAAGGTGCCTGGACCATTCTTTTTCCAGGAAAAAAACAGTGCTTGGAATAACCTACCTAGACATGCTACATGAGTGGCTGGTGCCTCAACTACAAGAAGACAATGACAATTTCATATTTGTGGAAGATGGCGCTCCGCCACACTGGCACCTTGAAGTTGGAAATTAGCTGGACGAAAAATTGCCCTAGCGTTGGATTGGACGTCCAACCACCCAGAACCAAGAAGTCCGGATTTAACATCCTGTGGCTACTTCTTATGGGGCTACATAAAGGACAGAGTTTATGTTCCTCCCCTCCCTACAAGTGTGGATGATCTTAACACACCACGGTAGCTGCTGCGACTGTTGACGTGGGCATGCTGAGAAACATTTGTGAAGAACTAGACTATCACATTGATATTTGCCGTGTTACAAAAGGGTCATGTATAGGACATTTGTAACTTACCCATGTAAATTTCAGGGTGTACTTTTCAAACCATGTAAGTATCTTGGCCATGCTATTAAAGCTCTTCTTTCTGCAAAACATTGAAAGTGTCTATTTCTTGTAGGCTAACCCTGTACAACTAGAAAAACCATATAAAGACACTTACCCATACAGAGAAATCCTTTGGTGCGCTCTTTATTAATCCTGGGAGCGAATGGGAACTTGAAGTATGCTCGACAGAGACTGCTTTAACGTTCACCTTACCAATTAATTCAATCACAACAGCACCTGAACCTACAAATGCCCAGCACTCACCTGGCATGGTACAAGGCTGTAATATTCAGACAGAAACATTATTCCAATATATGCAGTAACTCACCAAACAACATGAATGGAAAAATGAATTCTTAGAGGAATTCTGTGGCAGAGTAAATATCATGAATTTGTGCAGTATTTTTCATAACGCTTCTGGATTCATCATCACCATGCTTTTTGTCCTCTTACCATTCCAGTACTCTGTTGCTTGTTGAACAACTTGGGGTGTTACATTTGTCTCTCCCTTCATAGAATCTTTCTTGAATTTCCTTCCAAACTTCTCTCTTTAGGTAAGTGTTTTCTCTTTACATCTTTTGTATATGTTTCAGCCCATATGGCCAGCACCAAATGCATTAGGCATGGAACATCAGGTTTAAGTGATATTGGCCAACAGAAGTTACAGAAATTAACCATGGCATTCTCTGAGCTTTCTTGATTACAATTTCATTCTGAACTTTAATTTGTGATAAGTTGAATTTTGATAATGGGGAATGCAGTAGCGTGGTTGGTTGAGGAACTGTGCTACAGACCGTCGAATTTCTATGCTACAGACTGTCGAGTCTCAATGATGTGGATCTTTTTTTTTCTTTAATTTACCTATTTACCTACCCTTCCAGTTGCACTATGGCCCTGGGGTAAAGGGCGTCTGGTGCATAAGGCTGACAACCTTACCACCATCTGTGAGCCGACTGTCTATAGAAAATGTGAGAGCGTCGACATCTCACAACCCTATAGGCCTTCATGGCCTGTTGCAGGGATAGCTTTACCTATTACTTTATTAGCTTGAGATCAACTTCTCACATTAATAAGTATATGGTGGGTACAGAAAATAGTACAGTGAAATTAGAACCTCTGTTTTGACTGATATTCAAGCATTACCTATAAATAAAAGACTGACACATGACACCCACATCCAACAATACAATGCACGCAGCCACAAGAGTAGAACACATCATAAGACACAATGTACACACAACATTAGAAATACAAGAAGAATGACCCCCATGTGGATGATTAATAATACACATGAATTTTAAAAATGACGTATAGGATAATAAGTTTTAAATAGATGAACTTTATTGTTATGTGGGGACGTATACAAATTTAGTATTGTTTGTAAATGGACATATAAAGGCAAGCCGTGAAATGGTTAACGGATTGATACACCTGAAGATGGCAGCATACTGCCGAAACATGTAGTGTAGAAGTGGTAGATGGGATTGTATGCACTTGAAGACTACACGTGTTAATATATACACATTATGAATATGAATCAGTGCAACAGGATGCTAAAATACAACACAGTAATTGTGAAGTACAACTTGAAAGAAGTATGTGTGTCATCCATGTAACTACTATAGTTGTATATAGTTTACATACCTCAATGATTTGCTGTGCTGAACGTTCCCCAGTTTCACTTGGTGAAGACACATGGTTCTTGGTATCACGTGTAGATACTATAGAACCACCTGCAGTCATGAGATGAAAGTAGACTTTAATATGCACCAAATATTTATAATAATTTCTTTTAGCAAATCATTAGATTTGTTTCCTGGAAGAAGGGGCACATAGGAAGTATGTATGTGATTCTCTAATAACTCTCAGACCTGACGAGTTATTTTCAGGAGAGACTGTATGATAATCGTGTTAATTAGAGGTCATCTGCATGTCTTTTTTTTTTCTTACGATCCCTCCCTTCGTAAGTGTGTACTTTTGAAATGTGCATGGAGGCTGCATCTTTCAGCATCGAGTAACTGATGGACTGATTACTTACCTAAATTGCCAGTTAATTCTCTAATTAATTATTCAACACCCAAGTGCAGTCTCTTCTCTAACAAGTTAACAGATATTCAGCTGTTCAAGTGATTCCCTGTCATATGAAACACAACAGCTGATTTCTGTCAGAAGCGCAACGTAAACTAAGGTGTTTCAGTTTACACTTAATTTATTTGCACCATATTCTGTAAGGTTTATTTCAGCATTGACCTTCCCTGTCTGTCTTGGTACAACATTTGGTCTCTTTGCATTAAGATGTTGAGTGTACTTTCATCTTTCAGCATTTGTATTTTCTCTTGAAAGGTTTCACTTCTGGCTAGAATTTGGCGTCACTGAAAGTTCTTCAGTCTCTGATTTGTGTGGTTCTTTCTCAATTTTAGCCATTGGAAATGTTATGACGAGGCTCTGAACCGACTAGTATTATTTTTAACTTAATTTTCTGAATAGGGAAGCAAGCGAAAATTATGTTGGTCATTGGCACAGAACTCTGTAAATTCATTGTTACCCAGACAATTCATAAGTCATCTGAAAGTCTTTATTTTCTGCTGGAATGACCATAATTATAGAAGAATGGTATCTTCTGGAACATAAAGCCTCATAATTCAGTACAAGTCCGTCAGTATATTGGTGGAATGTACTGCCTCCATCTTAAAGATTAGAGACTGTCCGAGCAAAAAAAAAAAAAACTATCAAGAAGGGAGCAGCAAGGTCTGCTTCTCACTGGTTTCTTGCTTCTGCTGAAATAGATGGCACTACATCAGAGAAGGTAGCACTCCTCATAGTCACAGATGTGAGAACCTCAAATTCAGCCACAATTATTTTCTGTGTTGAAACTGGAATATAGGTCACAAATCATAAAAATGTAATTTTTATTTATACTTAAGCGCTTCAGCAAAAAGACTTACCTAAACTTGCCATGGCGTAATCAATTTGTCCAGTCTTAGTGACATCATAAAACTGAACGGCATCTTTCACAATATTCTTGGAAGTATCGTCCAAGTTGCTCAGCATTTCATGTGAGGTTCCTGTAAATAAATAATATAGATGTTATGAAGTACCATCAGAAATTTACTTTTATAAAACTGAAATTTCTTTATTAGAGTCCGTCTCAACACAACAATATAAAGGTCAAGCCTAAAATTAGCTTGGCTACATGTTTGAGCTCATGAAGCCATCATCAGGCAAAGACGTGATTACTATATTCACACACTACTGAACTGCAATTGTGGTGGTAAAGCTGGATACTGTCAAGTAAATATTAACACAACAGGGTGGATGAAATGAAAATTTATTAAACTGCATTGCACAATTGACATTGTAAACCAAGTTCAGTGACTTGTTGTTGATGCAGTGAAGTTAAATGGTCATTTCAGTCTTCTGTTTTCCATTTAAAACACAAAACGTTTGTCCTCCATGCAAATACAGGGAGTCAGGATAGCGACTGGATATGGGCTGGACAACTGAGTGATCGAAGTTTTAGTTCTGGTAGGTTCAAGAATTTTCTCTCCTGTAAAGCGTTCAGACCGGTTCTGGGGCCCACCAACACTATCCAATGGGTACCTTGGGATGCTTCCCTGTGTGCAAAACGGCCAAGGCTTGAAGCTGACCACTCACCTCCAACTTGTGCTGAGGTCGCAAAACGTCGATTTATATATCCATGCCCCACAAACATGGGGTGTGGATATATAAAATATATAAGCATAGTGCTTAATTAGTTAAGCACAGAGCCAACTTTACCTTTTCTTTTAACCTCAAGACAAATGTTAAATAGACATTTTAATGCAGTGCATAAATTATGCCTGTATTAATCATTTGTCTCAGCAATCTTAAATAATAATTTCTGTAAATTCGGTATTTATAACATGCAAGGAGATTAAGACATGCATATATATCCTATTCCTCATAGCCAATCTGCTGTAATCTTAAACTTTCAGGTTGATGCACTATGTTTTAGAGCTGTCATCGTTTTAATCACAATAATTTTTCATAGGTGTTATTTCAGAAAATGCCGGCAGAAACCAAAGGGTTTAAACCCTGTATAGCATTTCCATGTGGCTGAACGTTTGATGCCTGCTAATTTGTTACAGATGAATCTTGTAGCATACTGATACCCAGTAGGTTAGTGAGACATG